ATCTAAATATTATCCCAAACCTTTTAAATGTTATCGAATTTTCAGAAAATTTATCAAATTTTAGTCTTACCTAAAAAAAAAACTTTAAAAATATTCCCTTTTATCGAGTAATCTTAAAATCAAATTAAAATTATTAAATTCAACGTCTCCCATTCTCCTTCCATCTAAACCCGCCATTTAAATTAGTAAACTCAACACAAATTCTTTCATCATCCATCGTAGAATTTTCAATTAAACAAACTTTTTTCACGCCACCACAAAATCCACCATATACCATTGAGAAAGCCACATGCAAACCCACCGTATATCATCATCACCATGGATCTTCACCAAACAATTTTTTTTAACAATCAAATTCATGTAATATTTTCACTCATTAATGGAAGCTGCTTTAATAAGACAACTAAGGTTTAACAATTTAAAAATAGAACAAATAAAAACTAAAAGAAGAAAAATTGGAAGTTGTTGCGGACTCGTGGTGGTCATGGCCATCACCAGAGCAGTAGGATTTAGTTGTCGACATGGCCCATATGGCCATCCAGATCTAGCCGTCGACATGGCTCATATGTCGACGGCTAGATCTGGCTATCTTTATCTCCTCAAACAAGCATGGATGCCATGATAGATCTGAGAAAAACAATTTTTAATAAATTTTTTGGCATAATAATAAATATTGAAGTTTTAATAACTTTATTCTATACAATAACAATGACCTCAATGAAATTGGATGTCTTAAAAGTGATTATTGTCAGTATTATTAAACACATTAAATAAAAGAAATCAAATTACATAACGAAACCCAGATAATACACTAATTTTCTAAAAATAATCTAAATTAAACAAATCAATTAGAAGAGGAACTCTATGGTAACAAGATATTTTTCCTACATTAAAAACAAAATCATCAAGTTTAGGGAAAAATATAAACTTTATAATTTTTTTACATATAACGAATTAAATTAAATTCGTATGACATGGACCTTATTTATTTATAATCTAATTATTGCATTTATCTTGTTTTTGGGTTTGATGATTGGATTAGTAATTTAGAAATTATTCAAATTGACTAAGTCGTAATTGCAAATTTGAAAATTTCAGGGAGGGCACTGGCCCACCCTAGGCCAGTTCTGGCTCCACCACTGAGAATTATTACTTCTAGTTTGAATTGAATGGAATCTCAATCAAACAACGGAATAAATTGAATGGCTGACAACTTTTTATCCTTTAATTTGTGATGACTTTAGTAGTCAAGTCTTTCATTAAAATAAATAAATATATATATATATATATAGTTGGAGTTTGATTAGAGGAAAATATATCTTGACAAATTAAACAAAGAAATATCAGATCTTGCAAATTTGTCGTTTAAATTACACAAAATATTAATAGTCAAGTCTTTTATTAAAAGACAGAGAATTGGAACGATATGTCAGTACATATTTTAACAATATGTATCTTGTATTGGCAAAAGAAAGAATCACAATCAACTAATGGAGTAAATTAGACGGCCAATAATACTATTTAATATGGTCATAGCAATCTCAATCAATTAATGGGTGAATAGTTTTTGTTTGTTTAGTTTACCTCAAATTTGAAAGGTCAAATCAATGATTTATTAAGTAATATTAAACAAAAACGATTAAATTTTTTTTTATATTTTTAATCAGACTATATAGAAGAACAAAGTTTATTTTTCAATTTTTTTTATTAAGGGGTCAACTTTTTTTTTTTTTAGTCATGACAACATTGATCAAGCAATAGAATAAATGGGATGACCAATAATTTTAGTTTATTTTTTTCTTAACTAATTTGCCAAAATATTAATAAAAATTATTAGGCTTTTAAAAATTTTATATAAAAAATGATCACTAATGATGATATGACAGTAATTATTGATTTAAATCAATTTAATGCAAATATATATGCATCACTCACACACATGCAGAGAATTAATTACTTGACATTAAAATATTAAATTTATATATCATAAAAGAACTCTATAATCTTTTATATTTATTTATATATCAATTAATATTTAAAATCACAGGTCAATTACTACTTTTATCTTAACAATCTCAATCAATTGATGGCCTAACCTTTTTTGTTCTTTTAGTTTACCATAAATTTGAAAGATCAGCTAAAGACTTTCTGATTATTTACTCGTCAACTTTCATAATGTCAATCAAATAATGGAATAAATTGAACGGCCAACAATTTTTATTCCTCTAATTTTTAATAAAAGGGAAATATTTCCTTAACCCCCATGTGTTTCATATAATTATCTAAGCACCCTTGGTTTTTGAAATAAATTTTTGTTCAAATATTAAAAGACATTTTTACCCTTGAAACTAAAACTAAGAATCTAAATATTATCCCAAACCTTTTAAATGTTATCGAATTTTCAGAAAATTTATCAAATTTTAGTCTTACCTAAAAAAAAAACTTTAAAAATATTCCCTTTTATCGAGTAATCTTAAAATCAAATTAAAATTATTAAATTCAACGTCTCCCATTCTCCTTCCATCTAAACCCGCCATTTAAATTAGTAAACTCAACACAAATTCTTTCATCATCCATCGTAGAATTTTCAATTAAACAAACTTTTTTCACGCCACCACAAAATCCACCATATACCATTGAGAAAGCCACATGCAAACCCACCGTATATCATCATCACCATGGATCTTCACCAAACAATTTTTTTTAACAATCAAATTCATGTAATATTTTCACTCATTAATGGAAGCTGCTTTAATAAGACAACTAAGGTTTAACAATTTAAAAATAGAACAAATAAAAACTAAAAGAAGAAAAATTGGAAGTTGTTGCGGACTCGTGGTGGTCATGGCCATCACCAGAGCAGTAGGATTTAGTTGTCGACATGGCCCATATGGCCATCCAGATCTAGCCGTCGACATGGCTCATATGTCGACGGCTAGATCTGGCTATCTTTATCTCCTCAAACAAGCATGGATGCCATGATAGATATGAGAAAAACAATTTTTAATAAATTTTTTAGCATAATAATAAATATTGAAGTTTTAATAACTTTATTCTATACAATAACAATGACCTCAATGAAATTTGATGTCTTAAAAGTGATTATTGTCAGTATTATTAAACACATTAAATAAAAGAAATCAAATTACACAACGAAACCCAGATAATACACTAATTTTCTAAAAATAATCTAAATTAAACAAATCAATTAGAAGAGGAACTCTATGGTAACAAGATATTTTTCCTACATTAAAAACAAAATCATCAAGTTTAGGGAAAAATATAAACTTTATAATTTTTTACATATAACGAATTCAATTAAATTCGTATGGCATGGACCTTATTTATTTATAATCTAAATATTGCATTTATCTTGTTTTTGGGTTTGATGATTGGATTAGTAATTTAGAAATTATATAAATTGACTAAGGTGTAATTGCAAATTTAAAAAACCTTATAGATTGTTTTGAAAATTTCAGGGAGGGCATTGGCCCACCCTAGACCAATGCTGGCTCCACCACTGAGAATTATTATTTCTGGTTTAAATTGAATAGAATCTCAATCAAACAATAGAATAAATTGAATGGTTGACAACTTTTTATCATTTAATTTGTGATGACTTTAGTAGTCAAGTCTTTCATTAATATATATATAATTTTATATGGCCCACCCTAGGACAGTGCTAGCTCCACCACTAAGAATTATTATTTCTTATTTAAATTGAATAGAATCTCAATCAAACAATAGAATAAATTGAATGGTCCACAACTTTTTATCCTTTATTTAATAATAGTGTTTTAACTTTTATTTACAATTAAATTTAGACAACCATGCTTTAAATAAAATGAAAAAGATATTTATTTACGTTAGAATAATTACAAATAACAATTTTTAAGTTATATTAATAATTTATTTAAGAGTTTTTTATTCCAATCCTGTGTAATCCCACATGTACATAATTAAGTTTGGGGTTATTAATTCAATTCGACCTTGTTGAAAGCCATCAGACATACGATCGGGAATAAAATAGTCCAATCTTAGACTTATCCCAATCCCCAAACATTACTTTACTCTTCTTTACTTTAAAAGTTTAAGTTATATTATTTGAAATATGATATTCTGAAAAACTATTCTAAATGAGATAAGATTAAATCAAATATGATATGATTTTAAAAATGTGTGTAATACATTTTAGAAAACATTTTTTAAAAATATGTAAAGTGCATTTGTTGAAAAACTATTCTGAATAGGATAAGATTAAATCAAATATAATAGGATTCTAAAAATATGTTTAATACATTTTTTGAAAACATTTTTCAAAAATATTTGGTACCTTTGTTTAGATATTTAGAGTAGTATTTTTAAAATATTATTATTAGGTAAAATTAAATGGTTATTACGAAATAGAATTTAAAATTTTAAAATAGTTAAATAATTTAAAATAGGATTTTGAGAATAAATAAATTTTGATTTGTAATACAAATAAGATAAAGAAACGAACACGAATTTTAGTTATTTGAAATAGTATTTTTAAAATATTATTGTTAAATATAGTTTAACCATTATTACAAGATAATTGAATGGTTATTACGAAGTGAGATTTGAAAATTAAAAAAAGTTGAATAAACTACTCTGAATGGGAAAATATTAAATCAAATATGATAAGGATTCTAAAAATGTGTTTAATACATTTTTGGAAAGCATTTTTCAAAAATATTTTAACCCCTACATTTGTTAATTTAGCTAAACGCCCTCACAATAAAAGTTTATAAATTAATAAAAATACCCCCACTTATCCAACCAACTGCTGACAGCCGGCCACCACCGGGCACTACCTTCAAACTTCTACTAATAGTGTGGACAGAACTCAAAACCCACACACAACACAACTAAGAAATCATAGTACAAAGACTGCATCATTGTCGGATCATATCAGCATTCCAGGCATATTCAACATGAATAAAGAAGTAAAATCTTCAAATTGTACATGAACCTAAACCAAACCATTCCATTATGCTGATTCAACATCCGATTCATCAAGTCCTTCTCTATAAAGTTCAAAATCCTCTGGACTCCATCGGCAAATTAGGTGAAGTTTGAAGGTAGCCATCTTGATCCCCAACAAACGCTGCCAAAAAAGAAATATAACAGGTCAATCACATGTCAATTTCCCAAGGAACAGGGTATATTACAACCACAGTGAATATTCAAAAGCACACGATAACAATTATATCATACGAAATGACCGAGAAATAACTTTGACAGAGGTAATATAACTACTGCTTCATGCATTCACCCAATTAATCATAACCATAAAATTGACAATGGGAGCATTAGGGAAAAAAAAAAAAAGGGAAGCTGCAGCTGGTTCCAGCATTTGAAACCCAAACAATTACAAAGGGAAAACCCTAAAATTGAAGCAAAGAACATTCCCTGGTGTAAACATGCCGAAATTTTTATGACATTAAAATAAAATTGCAAGTTTTAAATATGGAATATAATATGATGCTTTGATCCTAAGGATCGATATAATACTGCAATACCAAGTCATATTGCTAGGACTAATATCATAGATGATGACATTAGTGTGAAAAGCACTACTGTTAAACACATTAAGAAGCGTTACTTTTTTCACTAAGTTGAACCAAAATAACACAGAGAAGGCAAAAATTGAATAAAGAATCAAAAATTTATTAACAAGAATCAAGCACCCAGTGCTGCCAAGCTAGGGACTCCCACAATACTATAACTTAAAAAATAAGCTAAAAGACCAGAACAAACCAGTATGCGAGCTGACTCAGGTGATATAGGCTTTCCCTCTTCACACACAACAAAATCTGAAACAAGTTCCACCACACCTGTGCAGCAAGAATAAAATTAATATTCAAACATAACTTTTCCTATTTAAATGTATGACGCAGAGCAGCAAGAAGAAAGCAATAAGGCTCACCTTTGTTTAGCCGAACAGGCATCCCTTGCTTTCTCAATAACGGCTCCATCTCGTGTGTGAACTGTTCAAGAGGACCTGAAGAAAGTTCCACCTGAAAAATTTTGAAAATATGCAAAAGATTTAAAGCCAAAACAAAAAAAAAAAAGTATATCATGTATTCCAATACATGCTAACAAATCACTACTGATTCAGACCAAAAGAAAAGGCATTAAGTTGGAAGAAATCATAGCATTATTGACCATAAAAAGTTGTATTGAGTATCAAGAAACTTTGAATCTTCAAATCATCCTCCCTCAATCATCAACAAAAGGATTAGACTCTGTGTTTTATACTAATATATATTCATGCAGAACTTTTCTGTTGCAGTGCTTCCTGTCCTTGCAAAGTCATATTCTTCATACTTATTAAATAAGCTGCAAAACGAAGAAAAGTAAATCTAGAGTGAAAAATATAACACACGGGAAGCAGAGATTTTTTAAAATATACAAAGAGGTAATTTTAAATTGAATTGGAATGCATTAAAAGCATCCATTGGCATTACAAGATTCAATTAGGTTAATATCTCCAAACACATTTCATTTTAACATAAGCAAGTGGGGATTATGGCCCTCTATTCTATACTCTTGTTAATCAATTCAAAATCATTGACAAAAGAACAAACTTACATCTTCCATAGATTCAATTTATTAAACTTACATAAAAAGAATCATTGCCATCAATAATAAATTCCCACCAAATCAAATAAATAAAAAACCCCAACGGGATATATATATATATATATATAACTCCAAAAAATTACCTCTCGACCTCTTCTTCGACATATTTGTAAGAAAAAGACCATTATCTCCACGAAGCAGCTGATAGAACAGGCAAAAAATTAATAAACACAATAATAATCTACTTTATAAATGCATAAACTCTTAAAATCATACTAATAATAATAATCTTAAGAACACGAAATAATATTTTACCTTAGAAACTTTATAAAGGCCAGGCCTTATCTCATCGGCAACGGACCGACCCAAAGCCACTTGCATAACTTTGTTAGAGCCAAGAAAGAATCTGAACAAAATAATCAACAATGAAAAAGCATTAATTTGCTTACACGACAATGTACTGAACTAAAACTATGAAAAAAAAAAAATTAATTAGCTGACCGGCTGGTAGGTTTGAGCTGATCTCTGAACTCTTTGAACTTGAGATTTCTCATATTCTCAAAAGAGAAAACATAAATGGAGTTGTAATTTTCCACGTTTTCTCTTATCGAATTCACAATCAATTTTTTGTGTTCTCTCCCTTTCTTCTTCGTCTTTGACAAAGTAACTGCAGTTCATTCATTATAAACATTAAATCAAAATTACATAAAATTTTACGTCACAGAAGAACGACACAAAGCCTACCTGCTCGGTCACGCTTCGACTTCGGCATGTCGTTAACGGCTGAAACGGCGGCGTCTTCACTGCTATTCTCTTTGCTTTTAGGGTTTTAAGAAGTCTCCGCAACTGTCCTGAGGTTTTGGCCACTTTTGGGTCGTAAGAAATAAAGAAAATTTTGAATTATGATAAAAGAAGAAAATTAATATAAAGAATGGGCTTAAGATATATATCAGCTAAATAGACCCCTAGATAATTTGAAGTATCCACCAAGCCCATTCAGCTAAAGACACCCCACGATATTTTAAAGTATAAACTTAATTAATTAAAGAGTGGTATTATTTAAGCCCACTAAATCTCTTTCAAAACCTCTGATTAAATAAGATTTATTAGATAAAATTATACATGATGTATATAATACATCTACTCCTATTACAAAAAAAGTCTTTATCATTTTTCCCTTTTTATCTTCTTCTTTATTGATACAGAGATTTACACCAACTTAAGGTAGAATCATGTAAGATGTGTGCGCGATCAATAATAGAATAATACGAAGGTAAATATGCAAGAGTTAACACAAAAGAACAAAGGATCAAAACACTTTTTAAGGTTATTTGGCTGCTTGTAATGCTTATTAAATGGAATTTGATTTACCAAGAGTCACTAATTTGTTTTTTACGATTAGTTTTTCTCTCCATAAACAAATTGTAACTTACAGGTTGAGTTGGAGATGAACTTAAATTTGAATAAATGAGAAGTTGTGCGATCTTTGGCCTTAATTATGAAATCCAATTTGCATGGCAAATGGGGTTTTTTTTCTCGCACAACATTCCCCGTTTATCAAGTTTTAAAGAAAAAAAAAAAACTATTTTTAAATACCTATAGAGATTCAATATTCTTATTTGTTCGATCATATTTCAATCTGTTACAATCCTTCAAGGCTGCACAGTAGGTGGCCTTTGCCACTCGACTCAATCGGTGTCACTACCACCAACATCCGAGTCTTCTGGTTCTCCATATCAAATTAACTCACGCAGTAAATGAGTAACCCATTGAGTCAACCTGCTCTCTCTCTCTCTCTCTCTCTCTCTCTTCTTCTCAATTTTCTTGCTCAGGTTTGATATTAATGCTTCTTGATTGTTCTATAAATTAATGAAGGAGCAGTGATTTATGTAGGGGCATGTTGAGAGTAATTGTGAACGGCCAACCCACCAACTTCAATTTCAGAAACAATGGGTGTACAGTGTGCTTCTTCGAGTTATTTCTAAACTTCCCAGAATAGGCTTCTTGGACCTCTTGGTCATCATAGAGATATTATACAAACAAAGCTTGGGCGGTCTGAAGCCTTAGGCTCCGTTTGGTTCATTATTGGGTAGTTTTTAGAATAATCTTTTGAAAAAAATTAAATTGGGTGGATATTACGATGTAGAATTTTGAAAATTAACATACATACCCCTTATGTTTATTTATTTACTAAACACCCCTATAATAAAATATTCAAAATTAACAAAAACACCCCTAATCCACTCATAAATATGGACAGTCGGCCACCACACCCGGACGGTGGCGAGAGTTGCCGTATCGGCGTATAACCGGCTCGATCTTGCTGGTCATGCGCCGATATAGCCTTTTCTGGCCAGATCTGGCCGCATTTAGTCGTCAACGATGACCATATCTTGGCCGTCGTTGACGATTATCTATGGCAAAAAATCTGGCCTTTTCCGTCCAAAGTGGATCTGGTCGGAAAAGGCTAGATTGGTGTATTACCGGCCAAATTCAACCGGTTGTGCACCAATACACCAGATTCTGGCCAGCTTCCTGAAGTGGTGATCAGAATCTGGTAAATTTGGGTTGCTGGGGTGTTTTTGTCAATTTTTAAATTTTTTTTGGGTTGTTTAGTTAAATTAACAAATTTAGGGGGTTTAAATGAAATTGAAGAATTTAGAATTATATTTTGAAAATAGGTGAGCCAAAGTAAATTTTTTTGGGAAAACTATTAATATGTGAACCAAACAGAGCCTTAAATTTCAATAAGTTTTGCATATACAAATTTCATATTCCCTATCGATGACCAGCACAACATCTAATTAGAAGAATTCAAATTTGAGATCGTATACCTTAACCACACATCTTAATGCTCATCCTTAATTGAGTTACCCAATGACGGATATGTATCAACACCATATTGTTTATAACAAATAAAAAATAAAAAATAAAAAAAATAATTATATATCAATACATAAATGATAAAACTAAATAATATCATATTGATACGTTAAACACTGCATTACTAATTCGTTTAAATCTTAAAACATCAAGTTTTGCTACATCAATCATTGTTGGCCTTTCTTTTGCAGATATACAAACACATTTAAACTAAATATTTATTCACATTATAAACTAAATAAAACTCATCACCCTTTTCACAACCCGAATAATAAGTTATTTTATGTCCGGTCAAAAGCACAAATAGCAATGCACCAAAGCAAAAACACATCACACTTCTCATTGAAACACCCTCGGGTAGTCACATACTCAAGAGCAACAAATCCCATTATTCCTCTTTCGATGTCTTTTATGTGAGCCTTGCCTTTAGGAATAGACACAAATAGCGAAAAATCAAATAATTTAGCAACATTTTGTTCGTTGATTAGGATATTCCACAATTTTATAATTCTGAAAATAATGGGTTTGGGGAACCTAAAGTGAAGATATGCAATAGCATTAGCTATTTCCACTGCTATCTTTAACCTATTTGTAAATTGTAAGGGGTCGAAATGGGGATGAGAGGGACGATAAAATACGATCAGTAAGAGTTCTGTAATTTACTATTCAAAAACTAAAATACGAATTTCAGTCTCTAGGCAACATCCGATCAACTTCAAAATACTATTGTGATTCATGTATGACGCAAATAAGATGTTGTTGAGAAAATACATATATGTTTCAAAGAAGTCGTCAAATTTCATATTGAAAACTTGGCGGTCCTGTAAAACCTCATCATACAATTTATAGCCAAATCCATTGAAAATAATTTTTCCCTCGCGGAAGTTCTTTGTGGCTCTCTTGAGCTCATCAATGGAGACAACACGAAAAGGATTAAACCTACCATTACCAAAGGCAATTAATTTTTCTACCAAGATTTTCCCATTCTTCATTACAAATGCCTTCTCCTCTGCCTTTCCCTGATACTTGTTTGTTTTAAAGCACCAAATCATCTAACCTATAAACAAAACCCCAAAAGTAATAGAAATCATCCGCCACCTCCCTTCACATTTCATAACATTATCACTTACCCTCCTCTAACCATGTTGATTTTGACTGTTAGATTTCAAGGTTAAAGGGAGATAAGTGATGGTTTTGCCAAATCTGAGAGCAGGTTATGGATGATGAGAAGATTTCTCATATGGGATCTTGCTGATGTTTTCTGAACTTCAAGGGAGGTGAGGGATAACAACCCTAAATGATTTTTTAAACAATTAAACTGATCAATAATATTATTATTCTTACTGAGTTGTATATTTATGAATATTATTCAAAAAATTTATTAACAATATTTCTAAAAGTTCCATAAGTTCAATAGGAGCAAACTGTTTCGGATGGAGATCAGTCGCTAGTGTGAAAGTAAGAACATAGTTTTACTGTATATATGCACAATTTCTCTAAATCTAAAGATAAATTGTTAATAAGCTAACTTATAAGAGATTTAATTTGTATGTAGCAATGGAAGAAAATATACAAACGACATAATCAATTCTATCTAAATAAAAAAAGAGCAGAGGCTAACAAGAATGCACCTGTACTTGATGGCCAGTTCAGCCGTTCAGGTATTAAGAGTACAAGAAAAACGAGAGAGGCCTGAGAAAAGATGGAGCTCTGCAACTGTGACCTGAACAATTAGAAGAACATACAAGAAACTTGAATACATCAAGTTCAGTCTAGATATTGGAAGGTCAACAATGAATTGAAAAAGCAATTACTTTAGCACTCTTCAGTCTTCACTTAGAATCACAAAGAATAAAGCTAGTATTAGCTGTCAAAGTTTCCTTTATTTTTACTCTATGAGAGAGTTCAATAACTCAACTAAAAAGACTCAACCTACTCCAAGATCAATACTGGTAGGAGACTTTCATGAATCAGATTGAAAGTTCAAAAAAAAAAAAAAAAAAAAAAAAAAAAAAAAAAAAAAAAAAAAAAAATATTATTAATAAAGTAGAACCTTAAAAGAAATTTATTCTATACCTAGCAAAACTAAAAAAAACAACGATCAAAACATCGATTTTAATAAACTAAAACTAAAACTAAAATAAAATAAAACAAAAATAATAGTTAAAGTACCAAGTGTTATATAAGGAATTCAACCAACTCCAAGGAAATACCGATAAGGGACTTAATGTCTGTTACTTGTTAAATACCCTATCCCAAAGGACCCAAACCCTGCAAACTTGAAAGACAGAATGTACCCTTTTTTTTTTTTTAAATGGCGGTAAAATAAATAAAAAAAAAAAGTGAATAAAAAATTCTCCAGATGGAAACCAATTTTATTAAAGCAAATATTCAGAGGTATCAACATTTGGAGATATATAGATAAAAGTTCTTCAGCTAAGACATCTGACATTAAGACATTTGCTCATCCAAAGTTCATATCGGTAAATCTATATTTAATTTTATGTACAAAAAATACGCAGAATATGCATCTTTTCAGTTGTGTTAAAATAATGTGAACAAAAGCCCTTCTCATTTCCAATGAGTCAACAGGAGGTCCTAGGAAGAGAGCTGAACCCTATTTCTTCAATTTGAGCTGACTAGGCTTTCTATTATCGTTGATGAGGTAGAAAAATGGTGCCCTGTCAGAGAAAATTCTTGAACCATCATGGGTTGTAAAGACATACTTCCAGGCCGGTCCAAGAAGCCACGACACTGCAGTTCCACCAAGCAAGCCGCCTAGCTGAAATATTAGATGTCACATATGCATTCACACTCATGCATAAATAAATTGTATCAAAAATAGAATAATAAAGGATCGTTAAAAATGAGAATCTCTGTGACAATATCAATATAAGATGATCACATGAGAATAAATCGTCTGAAGGGATTTAACGAATTACATTCATTCCACAACTATTTAAAAATTTGGACCATCAATATACCATGTATTAATATCTTAATGGCTTACATGGCATCAGGATACCACATAGGCATCTATTAGAGCACTCCACGAGCGGCCATACGAGGATTCAACATAACAAGGAAGAAACCTCATAAATAGGAACTCAGCAACATGTTAGATGTCCCCAGTTGGGAGCAGCCAAGAAGGGCATAGCTAGGGAGACACATGATTGATGATTCTAAAGGATTGCTTAACGAGTCTTTGACTTAATACTAAGTATATCTAGGGACTTTGATGTGCTTCCAAGAACATTACATCCTCAATGTTATTTACATTTGTAAGTCATTTTTTGCCCTAAATGAATCAATGAAATATGCCATCAAGTTGCTGGTCATAACTCTCATAAACCACAGATATTCTTTATGGTTGTGAGACATTTGAAACATAAAATAGCTAATGATTCATCTCCATGATATTCTACACTCTCCTGAGTTGTCTCTATGCATTCTCTCACTCACAATTCATACTTTTGACCATGTAAGCCCTCAATCTAAGTCCAGAACACTAAGCCCTCAATCTAACTGAAGAACCCCAAATAACAATAGCGAGTTTGCAACTGCCTGGAGTCAAAAAGGTAACATGACTTGATCAGATCCAAATCTACAAAAGTCCACTGGATGTATCCTATAACTTATAGAGTATCCAATGTTTGTACCATATTATGAAATAAGTCAGAATATGCCTCAATATATAAAATGTCCAAACAAATACAGAAAGTTTTGGAGGAAAAGCAGCCAACATGGATGGCCCTTACCCCATAAAGTTAAGGCATCTCTAAGATGTTAACCAGTCACAGTCCATTTTCGTATTTGTACGAAAGAAATTTCACATAAACACAAAGCAAGAGAAAGAGAAACTCATATACTTACATGTCCCCAGTTATCAATGCCTTTGAATAGAAGCCCAACACCTGCATCAAATGCAAAATACTGCTTAGTAACACAGACACATGAGGCTTTACCCATACATTTACAAAAATTAATCTATAGATTACTTGAATGGATTTTTAAGAAATGAAAATGATAGGAAACTAGACATTCCAGGAGGTTCAGAGGAGGTCAGCAAGGGAATTTCACACCCTAGCAGCATGGTGTACGTGAGGAAGAATAAAAGTGGATTTGAAGGCCACATGGGAGCTGCTTAAAAAGGAATATTTAGACGTGGCACCAGATTAGCAAAGGAGTTTGTTAGGCCTACAGACTAGTAGAATAAGTTTGTTAAGATAATTGGGTATAAGAAGCTTACGAAAGATGTACAGGGTATGGGATTATTCACAAAGTTGTATTGGGAGGGTCCTAGCTCCTCGAAGTGCTAGAGTTATCTTTNGTACCAAGTGTTATATAAGGAATTCAACCAACTCCAAGGAAATACCGATAAGGGACTTAATGCCTGTTACTTGTTAAATACCCTATCCCAAAGGACCCAAACCCTGCAAACTTGAAAGACAGAATGTACCCTTTTTTTTTTAAATGGCTGTAAAATAAATAAATAAATAAATAAGTGAATAAAAAATTCTCCAGATGGAAACCAATTTTATTGAAGCAAATATTCAGAGGTATCAACATTTGGAGATATATAGATAAAAGTTCTTCAGCTAAGACATCTGACATTAAGACATATGCTCATCCAAAGTTCATATCGGTAAATCTATGTTTAATTTTATGTACAAAAAGTATGCAGAATATGCATCTTTTCAGTTGTGTTAAAACAATGTGAACAAAAGCCCTTCTCATTTCCAATGAGTCAACAGGAGGTGCTAGGAAGAGAGCTGAACCCTGTTTCTTCAATTTGAGCTGACTAGGCTTTCTATTACTGTTGACGACGTAGAAAAATGTGCCCTGTCAGAGAAAATTCTTGAACCATCATGGGTTGTAGAGACATACTTCCAGGCCGGTCCAAGAAGCCACGACACTGCAGTTCCACCAAGCAAGCCCCCTAGCTGAAATATTAGATGTCACATATGCATTCATACTCACGCATAAATAAATTGTATCAAAAATAGAATAATAAAGGATCGTTAAAAATGAGAATCTCTATGACAATATCAATATAAGATGATCACATGAGAATAAATAGTCTGAAGGGATTTATCGAATTACATTCATTCCACAACTACTTAAAAATTTCGACCATCAATATACCATATATTAATATCTTAATGGCTTACATGGCATCAGGATACCACATAGGCATCTATTAGAGCACTCCACGAGCAGCCATACGAAGATTCAACATAACAAGGAAGAAACCTCATAAATAGGAACTCAGCAACATGTTAGATGTCCCCAGTTGGGAGCAGCCAAGAAGGGCATAGCTAGGGAGACACATGATTGATGATTCTAAAGGATTGCTTAACGAGTCTTTGACATAATACTAATTATATCTAGGGACTTCGATGTGCTTCCAAGAACATTACATCCTAAATGTTATTTACATTTGTAAGTCATTTTTTGGCCTAAATGAATCAATGAAAAATGCCATCAAGTTGCTGGTCATAACTCATCATAAACCACGGATATTCTTAATGGTTGTGAGACATTTGAAACATAAAATAGCTAATGATTCATCTCCATGATATTCTACACTCTCCTGAGTTGTCTCTATGCATTCTCTCACTCACAATTCATACTTTTGACCATGCAAGCCCTCAATCTAAGTCCAGAACACTAAGCCCCCAATCTAACTGAAGAACCTCAAATAACAATAGCGAGTTTGCAACTGCCTGAAATAAAAAAAGGTAACATGACTTGATCAGATCCAAATCTACAAAAGTCCACTGGATGTATCCTATAACTTATAGAATATCCAATGTTTGTACCATATTATGAAATAAGTCAGAATATGCCTCAATATATAAAATGTCCAAACAAATACAGAAAGTTTTGGAGGAAAAAGCAGCCAGCATGGATGGCCCTTACCCCATAAAGTTAAGGCATCTCTAAGATGTTAACCAGTCACAGTCCATTCTCGTATTTGTACGAAAGAAATTTCACATAAACACAAAGCAAGAGAAGGAGAGACTCATATACTTACATGTCCCCAGTTATCAATGCCTTCGAATAGAAGCCCAATCACCTGCATCAAATGCTCAATACCGCTTAGTAACACAGACAAATGAGGCTTTACCAATATATTTACAAAAATTAATCTATAGATTACTTAAATGGATTTTTGAGAAATGCAAATATTGACCAAGTCACTGTTTGACCCCTTTCCTGAAAACGCCGTGAAGATCCAGATCATCCATATTAAGAAAAATCACCTGTGCTATGTGTTGTAGATCTTCTCTGCCACGTCCACTGATACCTCTATGCCTTGTAACAAACCCAGCAAGAGATCCAACCTATACCAAACATAAAAAATATCAGCAGATGAGAAAAAAATCAATTACCTTCGAATCTTGTGATAAATTTAAGGTACGAGAACCTTGAGATTCACTGGTCCAAAACTATATTTTTTAAGGTTGAATATTCTGCGGGATCTGTTAGTTTTTTATTGCGGTTTTGGAAAGGAGGGAACGAGTTTCAATATAATGCAAATTGTTTACAAATTCTTGCTGAAGCAAATTTAAATAATAAATCAAGATTAAAATATCACATATCTGAAATTTTAGTAAACACTTCTACTGTTTGTTAGTTCAAAATAGGTCAATCTAGGAGCAACTTTAAGCTGTAAAATATATGAGATTGAACCTTACCTTTTGAGATTGTAATGCCAGTGAGTTCCAATAGATTACAAAGTTCATTTATACATCATTGCCAAATTGTATGTTAGATAAAAAACCTGATGTCAGACTAAATATAGTAATAAAGATGAATAAAGGGATAGATAACATAGCATAAAAAAACAAGGATATAATCATGTAGAGCCATAGATGTTTCCAGGTTCATAAAATATGAAATTCTCGGGAGCAATATTAAGCTTGAAAATATATAGCTGTGAAACCTTATTTGGTCAGATTATTTGCTCGCTTAAGGTTCAACACAGTACTTATGCACCTAAAAGGATAACTTTTTTTTTTTTAAAAAATAACTAAATAGAAGTTCAAAATGATTTACCAATCCAAAGATTGCTCCTGAAGCACCAACTGCAGGGGGCTTACTGAACCAGTAACTCATCGCTGAACCTGATTTCTTCAAACAACTGAGTCAGAACAATGAGTAAACAATTTCATTGCTTCTTGTGGTGAGTTTAGGAGATGTTACTTGCAATTGCTGAGGAGAAGTACACTGCAAGATATCTCCTAGGACCGCAAATACTCTCCATGGTCGGACCAATGGAATTCAAAGAATAACAATTAACCTGTACCCCATAAACTTTAATATCAACATACAAAAACTAGCACTAACAAGAGAAAAATTCCAACCCATAAGCTTCAAAACAGACCATAAGATGCGCAACATTCGCATGCAAGAAGGAAGACGTAACAAGCCTCCAGAACTCTCCTTTGTTGATAAGACTATTAATCTGCATATGATACCAAAAATTGAAACTTCAATGATGAACACAAAATATCCCTAAACTTTCTTCAAGATACCAAGCATCTCACCTTAGCCCCCCACAACATCAACTTGCCCTTACTCGCCATTTGTGCAATATAAATTCTAGACAACAAAAACAAAGAAAAACCCGTTACACAGCATTCTTTAAGCATAGGAAAAATCACATTAACAAACAATGACAACACTTGATTCTCACAACACATTCACTGCAAGGAGCGCATTAGTCCACTGCCTTCCGTTCCACGAATTCCTCGTGGACATCTTCGATCGCAATATCCCCTCGTTTCCAGAGTTACTTCTATAATCTCCCCCAGTGAAGAAACATAAGCAAGGTAACCATTGGGAAGGATGCGCACCGTTTCTGAATTGGAAAAAATCGATTCCATTGAATTGGAAGGGCATTTGGGAGCATAAATCCTTGAGTCGCGACGCATTACAGAGACGAAAGAGCTTCTGTTCAATTGAAGCATATATATAAATTTCAATTAAACACGTAATCTTTGATAATTTCAGCATTTTTCCAAAGAAATTATATATTTAAAATGCTGCAAAATTGTAAATAAATTTTCTAGATTAATGGTGATTTTAAATAAGAGAGAATGATTGGAATAGGAACCCTAGAAATTGGTGTGAATTACCTTGAAGGAGGAACGAAGGCGAAAGTGATGAGCGAGGCGAAGACAAAGAAACGGCGTCGTGGTGGTAGTCAAATTTGTGGGTAAGAACAATGGGTGATGATGAGAAAACGAAAATCCTCTTCCTGAATCCATCTTCTTCTTGCCCCAAACCAAAACCAACTCAGATTTTACCCGTCTTTTTGTTTCTTTTTTATTTTAAAATCCTCTTACATAATGTTTTCACTAATATCTACCCTTCTAACTTACATGGATTGAAGGAGAAGTGATTAAATTATTGTAAAAATCATAAGGAATCAAACAAATTAAATTAAAATTTATGCTAATATTTGAATGCTCCTTTTTCTTGCATAAATTTTGATAAAATTATATGAAATTTGTATTTATGTACAGAATTGTAAACCTGTTACAATACAGAGACATTCAAATAAAATAAATCAGTACAATTTGCGTAAGAAAAAATAAAAAGGCTTCCTCCATTGTTGAATTTGGAAACTGCATGAACCATTAGAAGAAAAAAAAAAGTGTCATCATCTTTATAGGACTAACCAAAATTATTATAAAAAACCTAAGCATATAGTATTATAGTAATAGGAAAAACAGGCAGTAGGTAGTGAAAGTTTTGGGATAATCATATTCATACCTGCCTAAGAAGCAATTTTTCAACAACATAAACACAAACATAATTACATACATACATCATATTTTCATCCTTCTTGTTCTTGTCTTTAATAAATTGCTACAGAAGCAGCCAAGAGCGCCACCATGAGCTACCTATTTATTTCAAAACTTGCTAGTTAAAACAAAAAAAATTTAATTATATATATATATACACTCAGTTTTGTAAGTCATTCAATAATTTTTAAACGTGAGATTAAAGGTGAGTGTTTAATTACTAACTTTACAATCTTAAGATAAAATAACCAGCTATCGAATACTCACTTTTAATCAGTACGTTATAAATTTCAAAACATCTATGTTTAATAATTTCTGAGATTATATATATATATATATATTTTTTTTTTTTCGTGGTCGAGTGTCTAAGTTACGCACACCTCGATTATCAGGACCTAAAGTTGATAGGATCTTAAAATTGACANGGCAGACACTCATAGACATTCAACAATGGCGTTAAGCCTTCATGAAAGCACTGCTACTTAAGCTGCTTGGAGGGTGGCATTTGTTGTTGCGGAGGAGCAGTTGGTGGTCCAATCCAACCTGTAAAATTACATTAATAATATGCTCTTAATTATACTTGATACCACCTTTGGAGGGGTCCAGTCCTCTTATGTTTGAGTTCACCATATTCTTGGTAAAGAGCGCAAGGTTCACAGCAATCGTTACAAGAATCACCTGGCAATCCGAATTTGTTTCGTAGTCTTTTTCTATAAGCGCATGAGATCGCAGCCAGTGGCATGAACATATTGATAACATCCCATATGCAAAACCTTCAGCCATGCAAGCTTATACAAACACACACGACACATATTCAGAACTCAGAAGTGTGTGTACACACACACACACACACACACACAGAGAATTTTCCCCTTCACCTAATACTTCTGCAATTCGGCCAAAGGTCACACAAGGGAGCAAGCATGTAATGCAACCTGCAGTCAGAATTAACGTTCATTATTTTCCTTAATGCAAAATACTCTTTTAAGTTTCAACTTAAAAAGTACTGCATATATCTTTGTGATTTTGATGGCCGGCTGGTCGAAGGTTCCTAGGTTATATAAATAGATATAAATGATCAATATCAAATATGAGATGAATGTATTTTCACTGGAATTGACGTCCCTTTGTCATTACAATAATGTTCATATTCTTGAACATTCTTTGTTTTTGTAGACAGCTAAGAAAAACTGGAAATCAACTTAGATTATCGACTGTGCCTTAATTTGGCTATGCTCCAATCCAGGCAAAATTTGTCATTATCATAATTAATTAGTGAATTAAAATAGTATAGAGATTAAGTCTAATTGATATCAGTAATGTAAACCACCGTTTGATGACCTGATGGTAAAAGAGCAAAAGAAAATTTAAGTTTATATGATCTCTTGAGTTTGAGTCCTTACGACATCTAATAGTGGTCATTTTTATAGTAGTCCTTTTTATATTTTAAGAATAATAATTCTTCATTACAAATTATGAGTTAAGAGTAATATATACAGTTAACCTTTGGAGAGATGGAGTCCTCTGTGTTTGAGTTCTGCATATAATTGGCAAAGAGCGCAAGGCTCACAGCAACAGCGAAGGATGCAATCGTTGCAAACATTACCAGGCAATTCGAGTTTCTTTTCTTAGTTTTTCTCCATAAACCCATGAGAGCAGCCAGCGAAAACAACCCGTATACCAAACCTTCAACCATGCAANGCATATATCTTTGTGATGTTGAAGGCCGGCTGGTCGAAGGTTCCTAGGTTATATAAATAGATATAAATGATCAATATCAAATATGAGATGAATGTATTTTCACTGGAATTGACGTCCCTTGTCATTACAGTAATGTTCATATTCTTGAACATTCTTTGTTTTTATAGACAGCTAAGAAAAACTGGAAATCAACTTAGATTATCGGCTGTGCCTTAATTTGGCTATGCTCCAATCCAGGCAAAATTTGTCATTATCATAATTAATTAGTGAATTAAAATAGTATAGAGATTAAGTCTAATTGATATCAGTAATGTAAACCACCGTTTGATGACCTGATGGTAAAAGAGCAAAAGAAAATTTAAGTTTATATGATCTCTTGAGTTTGAGTCCTTACGACATCTAATAGTGGTCATTTTTATAGTAGTCCTTTTTATATTTTAAGAATAATAATTCTTCATTACAAATTATGAGTTAAGAGTAATATATACAGTTAACCTTTGGAGAGATGGAGTCCTCTGTGTTTGAGTTCTGCATATAATTGGCAAAGAGCGCAAGGCTCACAGCAACAGTGAAGGATGCAATCGTCGCAAACATTACCAGGCAATTCGAGTTTCTTTTCTTAGTTTTTCTCTATAAACCCATGAGAGCAGCCAGCGAAAACAACCCGTATACCAAACCTTCAACCATGCAAGCTACGAGAATTAAGAACCCACAAAAATTATGTTTACATTATTATTTAACCAAAATTGTAGTTATGAGTTTTAAAATTCAATAATGCTAGATGTACAAAGAAATCTTTATAAGATTTATATACAAAATGACATGACAAAAAATGAATGAAAGAATGAATACAAAAAATCAAACTCATTATATTTATATTTTCATTCATTTTTTTGTTACATTACTTTACATAAAAAACCTTATAAGATTTATTTGTATATGTAATATTATTCTTTAAAATTATATACACGCTTATAGCTTTGACTTTCATCCATTACTTTTGCAATTCGGCCATAAGTCACATATGACAAGGCATATTAATGGTACACTACGTGATAATATTACATGATACCATTAACATTGTAAAATCTACATAAAAATAAGTATGTTACTAGTTCATTATCATGATGTATTGCAGCTGTATATTCTTGTTCATTAATTATACATATATTAGTTTGTGGCATATTAATGCATATGGAACGGAAACTTACATGTATGCGAGTCGTCTCCATAGGCACAAAATTCAGTCGACCATTTGGGTTGCTGAGAACGAAAGTCAACATTCATTGCTTATTTGGGTTGCTGAGAACGAAAATCAACATTCATTGCTTTCCTTAATGCAAACTCTTTTTGAGTTTCACCTTCAAAACAATTGCAATTTTATCTATATAAATGCTGGAGATCGTCTTTGACCAGCTGGCCCTCAATAAAAAATTTGCTACGTCAAGGTTCCAAGGTTAAATAATGTTTAGTATAATTATTCTTTGTAAAATCCTACATAACATTAAGTTTTAATTTTATTATTGAATAAGTTGTGGTTTGGAATTTGGCTATACTCCAATGCAAAGAATATTTGTATTACCAAAATTTTATCATTGAATTAAAATCTTTGTAGAGCTTATGTAGTCATATAGCTATATTAATATTATACTAATGAAATTTCTTTTCAAGTTGTGTTTGTTTATATAATATTTTAATGAGTAATGCTATGCGTACTAACGGATTTTATTAACCAGTGTACTAACTTTTGTTAAAATTATATATGGTACCCGTACTATACGTATGATACTCATACTATGCTTTAAGTTAGTACACTAATTAGTAAAATCCGTTAATATTTAAAGTATTATTGTATTTTAATAATGTAAATTTTTATTCTAAAGTTATTAGTTAATACATCAAATGAACGAGAATTTTGTGTAAACTTACATGATTGACACACTTTGAAAATAACATAAGTCGAAGTTGTTCGGTGAAAAGAAGAAATGGTTGTATGAAAGACTTGAGCTGGGCTGGGCCGAAAAATTACTGTCTAGGGTCATATGGCCATGCGGGTGATAAAAGAAACTGGATGATTGAATGAAAATCCAATTTCTAATAGTAACTCTCTCAACACTATACTGTAGCAGGGTCATAAAATGACTCAGCTACAAAGTTATATATGTGAGTGCCTCATATGATGATTGTCACAACTAAATAATTATATATGTTATACAGTTTTCCAGTACAATGTACATAGAAGGATGTTTGCAAGGTTTATTCATAATTCCCATTTCCCACTAGCTTATGCTATTTTGACAACTAAAATAATTTGAATGTATGGATCGCCGACAACTTTACTTATTAAAAATGCGAGTGGATCAAGTGGATTGTCGCCTCAATGCTCATGATTCACAACTTGGTTAATCAATTAATTAATAAGTCATTTTGATTGTGAAGATATATACCATCATTTAGTTAAATGCTACAGAAGAGTACACTCATTAGTCATTTCTAATCCTTAAACAAGAAAAAAAAAATCTTTTTATTATCATGGAAAAAACCTATCATTTTTTTTTTTTGGGAAATGATAAATATGTATAAAGAAAGAAAAATATACAAAAAAAAAAAAAAAAAAAACGAAGAGTATAACTAAGAAAAGGTCAAACTGACCAAAACGGATGTACTCATTTTTTAACATGCAGCAAAAAGATAGTCACAACCGCTAAAAAAAGAGCATGCAAACTTTATTTAAAAAAAAAAAAAAAAAAAAAGAGAGGGGGCACAACACAAGCACTTCAAGGGAGCATGCTTCATACAAAAGAGGCATGGGCACAAGCGCCCTAAGGAGCACACAGGCTCTAGAAAAAAAAAAAAAAAACAAACAAAGCAAAATCAGTATGACAAGCACCAAATAGCTCTAAGTTGAGGAAGAATATCATACTTAGAGGCCAAGTTGCAGGCTCGATCTCGCCAAGTTGCAGGCTCGATCTCGAACTAAGGTAAAAATCTGATCAATGACAATACGTTGAATCTTGCTCTCATGATTAAACACTCAGTTATTCTGTTTCCATTGTACATGCATTTTAATTAATTACATATCATTACCTTAATCTTTTATCAAATATGTAACAGTTAGATGTTGTGCTAACTATCTACAGTTAAATTCTTTGCTTAAACTTATGCTTTGTAGTTAAAATGTAACTCAACTTTATTGGCCAATGTTTATAGTCTCAAATATGTCAAATTAATTAATAATGAACATTATTACTTGGTTAGTTTAGAGAACTACAAACGTTTAGCACTTGTAAACGAGCCTTCATACTTTTACAGTTATGTGATGTGAAGGTCAGTCGAATGGAAGATTACTCTTGTCTTGCTGACTTCAGGCAAA